GTGTTGCTTCAAAATCTGTCAGACCCAATGGCAACTTTGCGATCAGGAGGATCCTCACCAGTATGTTTTTTTGGATTTCCTTTTAGTGATGTCTCCTCTTTTTCGTTTCTCCCTGTTGTTGACAAAATGCTCTCGGATGCTCTGCAGTCCTCTCCTGCATGGCTGGGAGGATGGATGCTTGAGAGATCCCTCCAAGGATCTGCTCCCTTCCCTGTTTTCCCATGCCCTCTGCTGACATGCAGGAAGCAAGGAAAAAAAAAGGCTGTTTTAATTTTTGTTGATGGTGCTAAACTGCTTCCACTTCAGAAGGATACATGTTGGTAGATATATGTTGAGAGGGAAGGGGACAGTTGCTTGAATCTGGAGCGGTCAGGAAAGTGATCTAGACTTTCAGATGCTTGTGATGGTAACATTTAAAATATGTCAGGCTTTTTCACTAGAAAATAGGAGTAAAGTCCTCCTTTTTCCCATTTGAAAATAATTTGTTCTTCCAGGAGGTTGGTCTGTCTCTACCTGTTTAGGCTTAGTTATGATATTAATATTCAGCATCTCCTTTGGCTGGGTCTGCAACACCTGCTTGGGTAATTTCTGTTGGAATAACATGCTGGAGATTGGCTCCTTGTGTTCTTACCATCTTTCTTGGTATCAGTGTGTCTCTTTCTGGTTCCCAGTGACCCTCTGAGTTGTTCATTGCTTCTTAGATATCCTTTACCAATTAGATGTCCTTTACCAAGCTTTTACATGATGGGGTCCCTCTGTGAACTCCATTCCCTCCTCTTTGCTGATGATCTCTGTTTCATTCCAGGGAAGCTGTTCCCATGGCTTGTGGGGAGTGCAGCGCTTCAGCACTCGCTCGGGATCCAGCACACAGGAACATCATCCCCTTCCAGCACAGAGAACTGACGTGCAGATAGCAGAACCCAGCAAGGTGAGGGCTCTGGGCCAGCTCTGAGGGGTGAAACCCCCAAAAAATGACCAGGATCCTACTTAAACACAGATGCAAAGCACAGGGTGCAGATGAGAGAAACAGAGCAAGAAGGAAAGGTGGTTGGTCAGAGGGTGATATGGGGAGAGTGGTGGTATTTAATTGTGGTGATGCTAATTAAATTTTGTGAGCCCTTAGCTTGAAGATGAAAAAGGAACCGAGTGTTGTCCAAATAATATAACTGTTTTACAGTCACTCATAAAACTAACTCATGGCCACGTAAACCCTGACTTCTCACTGCACTTACCAGTAAATACTCAAAGGCTCTCCAGGAAATATTTTGGTGACTGCTGCCCAAAAGGAATGCGGCTGAGAAATAGGAAGAACTGTTTGGTTTGGTGGGTGCCCTTCTATTTCCTGTGGGGTGATTTGTCCTGCTGGATAGGCATCTCCAGGCAGCTTTTTCCAGTGAACTCTCGGCACTTGTGTGGGTGTCAATTGAGCAATGACAGAAACTAGTTGCAAGAAACTCCTTCCCTCCTTGCTTCTGCACTAGGACAGTGAAGAAAGGGATTGCAGAATTCTGTGCTTCTCTTCAAGATGGGAAATTGTGTCCAGTGTTCTGAGCAGGGATGTGCAGTGAGTTGATTCCAGAATAGAAGTACCCCTAAGGCTTATCTGATGTTCTGGCAGTTCACTGATTTTGTTGGGGTATTTTTGTACTGATCCTCTCATGGCATTTGGAAACTCTTTTAATTCATGTAGGTCAAAGACAATGTGCATAAATATTTCCTTAAAGCATGCCAGAAGCCATGTGTTAAAAGCTGATGTTGCCATGTTTGAAATAGGAGTGCCTGAATCCTTCCAGCCATGACTTGCTGAAGGTGGTTACATTCTAGTAACTGCTGCAGGCAGTCAGGTGATCTGTGGTTTGGGGGTCCCTTGTGCTATTTTTTTTTTGTTTTAAATAACCAATGGAGGACACATGTATCAAGTTATTGCTGTGTGATTAGAGCAGGCTTATTAGGAGCCTTCATGTAATTCTCCCACATTCTAAAGAAGGATTTTGTTCAGCAGAGTACTTAAAAGGGAAGTGAAACTCATTTCTGGTGTTAAATGGAGCTTAACTGGTATCTGGGAAAGTAGAGGTGCAATGTCAGGTGAGCGGTGGTGGAGCACAGAGGAGAAGGGTTTTTTAGGATTTTTGTGTGAGGCACATTGTTTTGGTAATGGTTAAAATTTAAAGTATTCAGCTGCAGTGTGGTGAGTCTCCTTTGGGCATTTTTTGAAGTGTTTTTAAAAGCAGCCTCAGTTTGACATATGCACACTAATACTGAACAGGCATTCAGCAGTCCACATGCTCTAGGCATCTCTTGAGTGCTTCCAAACAGCTTTTTCCTTAAACTGTTGATGTGCTCTATGTGTCTTGTATTGCAACTGGAAATCCAGTTCATGTAGCTGGGTTATGTCTGCCCCTCCTGCTGCTGTCAAACAGCTTTTGAAAATAAAAGCTATTCAGTCCTGACCTCCCTGCTGATATAACAGTGCTGCCTTCACCTCGTGTACTAAGCATTGTTAACATCTGCTGTAAAATTGCCTTGGCAATTCACAAAGCTCCTCTTGTGACAGATTTTCAAGCTGCTTCTCGAGCTCCAGCCTGCTTTTGTGCACAGCAGAGGTGTAAACTGGGCTAGTTATCAGGTCCTCCTTCAGAGTCATGGTTTTATCAGGTCTTGGAGATGAAAGGTGGGGTGGTCTTGTGCTTTTTTAGTTGACTGATGCAGTCAGCAAATGTTCTGAGCTGGAAGTCAGTCACAGTTTTGGAGCTTGTGGTCCTGAGGGCAGGGCTTAGAGGGTGTGGGGAATATGTGAATAGGTACTTGCTCCTTGCTCAGACTAAGCTGAAATATTAACGTGCTGATGGTTGATGTCTTAATTATCTTGCTTTGCTCTTTTCTGTGCCTTCTTTCATCCTGACTGGCTCATCTCTTTGAGCTTGAAAACAGCTGTGGCAACACTCATGGATTTGTGCATGTTGTGACAGTCTGTCAACAATGCATTGTATTATCCTTGCTTAAAAGATTTTACTCACGTTGAATCTAGTGTCTTGATTTCTTAATCTGTTTTTGGATATGTCAACAGCTGGTTCCTCCTCTTATGTGGCTCCCAGTGCTGAATTTAAGTGCTAAAGAGCCCCTTCCTGCAGCTGCTGAGGTGCTTGAAGCTGCTCTGGCTGTTACATGTTAGTGCTGGGGCTGTCTGGTTTCTTAAGGAGTTACTAACAGAATTAATTCAATCACCTGCATTAAGCAGCACAGGGGAGTGTTTCACTGTGTCCTGTTGGAAGAAGCCAGTTGTACTTTTCCAAGACAGCTCCAATGCCCTGTCCTTGAAACATCTTTGTTATGGCAAAGAAAATTAATTTTGGATAGGAAGCCTGTGGCCATATGCATTCATAATTTATAAGCTGACACAGCCTTTTTTCTCTGGTTTACATCAGTGTTGCAAGTCATCTGATGGCACTTAAATTTACAACACTGGCACACAGTCCCTGCCCCGAGTGTCAGTGATGTTGGTAACTGCAGACTGTGCTCAGTTCTGTGAGCTGAGGCAAAAATGCTGTCAGAAAGCACAAAATGTAGCAGGCCAAGCCAGGTCTCCAGCATGGATTGTTCTGGTGGTTCAGATGTTCTTCCCTGCACTTGTCAGGACACGCTTGTGTGGTGGTAAACAGGAGCTGCTGCACTAGACTGAAGAATGTCAGTCTTGCATCTGACAGGAAGAGTCAGCTAATGGGTAGCTGGAAAGATGAAGTGCCATCCATATCGTAGGTGGATTATTCTTTTTCACGAGCTTCAGTGGAGACAGTGTGACCCTGTGGGTTCACTTCATCTCTCTGTGTCTTGGGTGGGGCAGAATTTTGTGTGAAAGCCACCTTACCCTGCTCTCAGCGTGGGGTTCAGTGCCTGTTCCACTGAGTGAGGAGTGTAAGTTCTCACAGCTGCTGTTCCACCACTCTGCTGGTCTAAATGGTAAATGACCCTTTAAACTTGACACAGAATCACAGAATGGCTTGGGTTGAAAAGGACCCTGAAGAACTTCTAGTGATCATGTTCACTTCTCTACCTCAGAAGATGTTTTGTTCAACAGAAGGGATTTATTTTTTTAATGCAGAAGGGGCCTGATACAGGGATAATAGTTGGTTGTTCTGGGCTTTGGCATCTGGCTTCACTGTTTTTTCTTTCTAAACAGCAAAGGACAAAATAACTTGACTTGTTCCATCTCACATCTTGGGCTTTTCCAGTTGATCACATGGCTGTCCTTGTTCTTGGAAGGTTTTCTGAGGGATGCCTGAAAGCAGCTCTGTTTCAGACTCCTTCCCCCCCCCTTAATTCTGGACTTAATAAACATGAGGGAGGAGACACATAAATTCCCAGTCCCATTTCTGCCCAGTAAAGCTCTTGCATTTCCTGATTTTTTTTTTTATTTTTTTTTTTGAACAAAGAGTTCTATGTCATGCCCTTCTTTAGGATTTCAGGTGGCAGCATGCTGGGGAGGGAAACTGCTCCATTGTAAACTTACCATAACATGTTATAGCTCGTCAGTAATCAGGGCTGTAGTTTTAAGAGCATCAAGGGGTTTCTTTCCTTTATCTACCTCTGATTCTGTCAGCACCTGAACAACTTCCTCTTTGTCTGGGCTTCTGAAAGGTAAGAAATTCTGTGAGCAGTGCTTGACTTCTGCTTTGCAGTCCACAATCTTAGGCTGAAAACCACCGGGAATTCTGAATATCTGTAGTGGAAAAAAGAGTTGCAAGATCCAGCATAAAATGCATCCACACCTACTTACCTAGAACTGCATTATGAGACTGCCTCACTTGAAAGCTGCACTCCACTAAAGGTGAGGAGGATTTCTGATTTCAGGGAAGTAAGGGTGGGAGTTAAATTCTTGTGCGTGTCCTGAAATCTCGCATGTAGTGCTCTTTGTCCAGTAGCTTTGTTAGTAACAGAATGGCCAACAGAAAGGAGGAGGAAAGAGGAGGCTGGGTGAAGTATTCAGCAGTGATGAGTCAAGCTGACAAACTGGCCAGTGAGACAGAACAGTGATGTTGTTTCTGTTCCCTCTGTCCCGAGCTGGATGTGCTGGCCAGCGGCCGCAGGCAGGGATTTGAAGCACTGCTCAGCCAGGTGCCTGTTGACAATAAATTAGTCTCAAGTTTTTTAGATTAGATGGTTTTAGATAGAGGAATTGTCCAAATTGGAGGACAGTTGCTCTGTTAATAGCTGTGGTTTGTGGAAAGCATTCATGCCCTCAGCTGTGTCAGCCTTCAGTGAGGTACAGGCTGTTTTATACGTTTAGTCTTGTCTCTGACTGGTTTTACCGTGTAGGTGTGGTGTGCTCAGAATGTGCCTGTTATTCCAACATGGGTGATTATCTTTCTCCTCCAGGTGTGTCTGGTAAAACACAGGATTAGTCTTTGGTGATGCTTATGGTTGGCTGAAGGCTGGGGAGGTTTGGCAGGCTGGTTATGTAAGTCTGAAACTGCTGTTCCTTGTCTGGGATCACCCTGTTGAGCACTGGGGAAGCTGTAGGTCCATGACCAGCAGGCTGAGGCAGGGATGGTCCCTGGTGGGATGCAAACCTGGATCCAGGTGAATTTGCAGACACTGAAGAGGGTTTGTAGTAGCCAACAGGGAGTGTGTGAATATTTCAGGAGCATATTTGTCTAGGTTGGAATGATCCTGCTGTATGATAATGAGGATTTAGCATAGAGATCTTTTCCTGAGCAATCTCAGATGTTGCTGCTATAAACTGTCCTGGGATCAGGATGTGAATTGTAGTGCTGCTTGATGCAGCTGAAACCCTCCAAGGTAAAGTCATTTCTTGGGGGCAGGGGATGAGGGACTGCTCAGGGACTGTGTGGTAGCAAGGAATGCAAAAGCTGAAACACTTTTGAGACAAACAGTTGTAAGATTTTTGTTTTTCCCCTTCAGTGTGCAATACCTAAGGCCTATTAAATTACACCCTTAGAAAACTTTCTTATGCTTCTGATAAGTTGACAGGAGTTTAGACACAGATGCTTTGGCTTATCAGCTTATGCAAGTTTAGTGAAATCAACTTGTCCTTAAACTTGAGTAAAGCACTCTTTCAAAATCTTAGTATCAATGCTTTCCATGGGGCAGAGGTAACTATGCTGCAAGTAAACTGCCTGTTCCTGAGCTCCAGCTGTAAGGTTCTGCAATTTGAGGTGCATATGAAGGAGCTCGGATCCTTCTTCACCAAAACTCCTCTGACACTGAACTTCCTTTCCTGTGGCTGTTCTGTCCATGAACTCAGTCCCTCAGTCCAGGTGTTCTGTGCTCAGCCTTTGGTGAGGCTGCATGACAGGAGAGACTTGGCAAATAAAGGTTCTTCACAGTGAACACTTTGCTGCTGACAAAGCACCCTGGAGTCCAACTCCTGGAAGGAGCAGAAGCTTGAAATGCACCGTCTGCCTGTTGGTCCTGCAGACCTTGGTCTGCTCTTGGTCACAAGGGAGGTAACTTTATTTCTGGCCAGCTGCCTTCATGCAAGGATTGCTCCCAGTCTTATGCCAGAATAATATCCTCCATGTAAATCCTGTCTTGATGTAGAACTGTCAGGAACTAGACGTAGGGAATCTGGGTGAGGAGGGATGTGACTTTCCCGTGTACTCTCTCAAGTTTTGATGGGTACTTTCCCCTTTTACTGCAGATGCTGGGCATAAGGTTAGATAAGACTTAGCAAATTCCAGCTTCTGTAAAGGTGGCCCCTTGTTTTATTGTTCCTCTTTGAGACTTGAATGGGGTCTCCACTGCTGCCAGGAGGAGTGGGGACTTGCTGTGAATGTCCTTTTCTTCCTCCAGTGACCCCGTCATTGTTACTGGAAGGCAGGAGATTTCCTGCTCCACCCTGTGGGGGTTTAATTGCTGACACTGAGCTGTAATAGATTCTCATGGGACACTCAGGATTTTTTTTTTTTTTTAGCTGTCTTGTAGGTGCACAATGTAAAGGGGGATTTCCTACCCCATGTAGCTGGTAAGCAGCCTTATGGAGCCAGCTGTGCTAATTTCTTTCTGGTTTCCTTCCTACCTATCCTGAGATACAAATCAAAAGTGAGCACAAGGGTCATTTCTTGTGAGGAAAGAATTAGACATTTTCTGGATTGAGCATCCTTTACACTTAAATTCATGTGAGTTTTGAAGTGACTGATAGATCAGTGCTTGTTCTCCTCCTGAACTTTGCTAGAAAGTATGATGTGATATTACTGGTTTTTCATCATCATTAGAATGAATTACAAAGACTTCATGTTCTTTTGTGTTACCTTTGAATTGGGGAATTTTGTGAGCTCAGTTATCCATGGATCAGTCAGTTATCCATGGATCAGTCAGGCTTCTGGGCTTTCTGTGGCTTGTTGAGAGGAGTGTGCTCAAAGTTTCATCTGGAAGTTGGAAGGACAGAATATGCACTGCCATAAGGCCTCTGCTTCCCAGAACCTTTTGCTTTCCTTTATGGCACTTAAATCCCAGCTGAGATGAACTCTAGGTGGGAATGGTTGGTCAGGGAAGTGGATTCTTCCAAGTATGTTCCCCCCTTCCTCTTTTTCTGAAGTAAATAAGGCAAAAAACCAGCTGTTACAGTGTTTCAGTACTGAATCTATCAGAGGGCAAGTAACTAATCTTTCCCAAGAGAATTAACTCAAAGGGAGGAAGCCAAAAGTACTTACAGGGAAGGAAAAATCATGATATTGGGCAATGTTTTTTCTCTTTTCCAGCTTGCTTTATGAATGTGTTGATGAGTTGCATCAATTAAGTGGTTCTGGGAAATATAGTTGTATTGTATGTAGGTCTTTTTCCTTGTCCCTGCAGTTTGAGAACCACACATAGACAGGATTTTTATGTAAAAGCAAACAACATGAGTAATGAACTCATGACAGCTAATCTCTGTGTGTGGATTTTATCACTTCTAACAGTGCTGGCAAACTCCTTCATCCCTGAAACAGAATCCCTGGATAAAACAGTAAATTTCCAAATACTGGTTGATCAAGGGAATTGAAATCTGCCCTGTGAGCTTCCTTTAAGTGTGAATGTTTTGCTCCACAAACTGCTAATGATAAACACCAGTTGTGAGGTTTTGTGACAGTTCATCTGTCAGGGAAGACTGAAATGAACTTCCCAGCCTCAGCTGTGGCAAATGACTCACAGGAAGCCTCATTCATTTGTCTGCCAGTGACTTGAAATTGTGTCTTGGCTAATTCCAGTCCTGCTGTGCCAGCACTCTAACAGGAGTGTTCTGATGGCCTCTTGTGAAGCAGAACAAAACAGTTTGAGCTGTTTCTGGTTTCCCTTCAGGTGAACCATGATTCCAGTCACCGAGCTGCGCTACTTCGCCGACACTCAGCCGGCCTATCGCATCCTGAAGCCGTGGTGGGACGTGTTCACGGACTACATCTCCATAGTGATGCTCATGATCGCCGTGTTCGGGGGGACGCTGCAGGTCACCCAGGACAAAATGATCTGCTTGCCCTGTAAATGGGTTACCAAAGACTCTTGCAATGACTCTGTGAGGGGATGGACAGCGGCAACCCCGGAGCGTAGCTACTATAACACTAGTCTGGTTCCCTCTGCGGACACGGGGCCCACGGGGATCCGATACGACCTGGACCGGCACCAGTACAACTACGTGGACGCGGTGTGTTATGAGAACCGCCTCCACTGGTTTGCCAAGTATTTTCCTTATCTAGTGCTGCTACACACCCTCATCTTTCTGGCTTGTAGCAACTTCTGGTTCAAGTTCCCAAGGACCAGCTCCAAGCTGGAGCATTTTGTGTCTATTTTGCTGAAGTGTTTTGACTCTCCGTGGACAACGAGAGCGTTATCTGAGACGGTGGTGGAAGAGAGCGATACCAAACCAGCGTTTGGGAAAATGAATGGCTCCATGGACAAGAAATCCTCCACGGTCAGTGAGGATGTGGAAGCCACTGTTCCCATGCTGCAGAGAACCAAGTCTCGAATTGAGCAAGGGATTGTGGACCGGTCTGAGACTGGTGTGTTGGACAAAAAGGAAGGGGAACAGGCCAAAGCACTCTTTGAGAAGGTGAAGAAGTTCCGCACTCACGTGGAAGAGGGAGATATAGTTTATCGCCTGTACATGAGACAGACCATAATCAAAGTCATCAAGTTCATTCTGATCATTTGCTACACCGTGTACTACGTCAACAACATCACGTTTGATGTGGACTGTAAGGTGGACATTGAGAGCCTGACTGGCTACAGGATGTACCGCTGTGCTCACCCTCTGGCCACTCTCTTCAAAATCTTGGCCTCTTTCTACATCAGCCTGGTGATTTTCTACGGGCTGATCTGCATGTACACGCTGTGGTGGATGCTGAGGCGGTCGCTCAAGAAGTACTCCTTTGAGTCCATCCGGGAGGAGAGCAGTTACAGTGACATTCCTGATGTGAAAAATGACTTTGCTTTCATGCTCCATCTGATCGATCAGTACGACCCCCTCTACTCCAAGCGCTTTGCTGTCTTTCTGTCAGAGGTGAGTGAGAACAAACTGCGGCAGCTGAACCTCAACAACGAGTGGACTCTGGAGAAACTACGCCAGAGGATCACCAAAAACTCTCAGGATAAGCTGGAATTGCATCTTTTCATGTTGAGTGGCATTCCTGACACGGTCTTTGACCTCATTGAGTTGGAAGTCTTGAAGCTGGAGCTTATCCCTGATGTCACTATTCCCCCAAGCATTGCTCAACTCACCAGCCTTAAGGAACTGTGGCTCTACCACACAGCTGCCAAAATTGAGGCTCCAGCCCTTGCCTTCTTGAGGGAGAACTTAAAATCTCTCCACATCAAGTTCACAGACATCAAGGAGATTCCTCTTTGGATTTACAGCCTGAAGACACTCGAGGAGCTTCATCTGACAGGGAATTTGAGTGCTGAAAACAACCGGTACATTGTGATAGATGGACTGAGGGAGCTGAAGAGGCTGAAGGTGTTGAGGATGAAGAGTAACCTCACCAAGCTACCCCAGGTGGTTACAGATGTTGGTGTGCACCTTCAGAAGCTTTCCATCAACAACGAGGGCACCAAGCTCATTGTCCTCAACAGCCTTAAGAAGATGGTCAACCTGACAGAGCTGGAGCTGATCCGGTGTGACCTGGAACGCATTCCCCACTCCATCTTTAGCCTCCACAATCTGCAGGAGATAGACCTGAAGGACAATAACCTAAAGACCATTGAGGAAATCATCAGCTTCCAGCACTTGCATCGTCTCACTTGCCTTAAGCTGTGGTACAACCACATTGCCTACATCCCCATGCAGATAGGCAACCTGACCAACCTGGAGCGCCTTTACCTGAACCGCAACAAGATAGAGAAGATCCCCACCCAGCTCTTCTATTGCCGGAAACTCCGGTACCTGGATCTCAGCCACAACAACCTGACTTTCATACCACCAGATGTTGGACTTCTTCAAAACCTGCAGAATCTGGCTGTGACAGCCAACAGGGTAAGTGAGCACGGAGCTGAGCTCCCGGGTGAGTAAATAACGCTGGCACTTCTGTTATCTGGGTGATTAAATGTGCTACAGTGGTCTGTGGGTACTGCTGGCACTGCCTTTTGTTTTTCTCTGAGGGGTTTATCTAAGGCAAAACATTGCAGATAACTCCGGGGTAAGCCTGTCTTCCAAGAGCCCTTGTTCTGGAGCATTTCCTCTCTTAACAGTGAGACTCCTTCCAAGTAACAGTTGGAGGCTGTTTGGAAATCCTGCCTGCAGCTGGAAGCTTGTCTTCTTTAGGTTCACATCTGTTTTGGGCTTAAAATGGAGATCTGAGAAACTAGTCAATATAAAACTATGTGCTTAAGCCTGTGTACTTCAGACATGTACATACACTATGGCAGCAGCCACCTAGGGTGTGCATGTGTGTGGCTTACAGCCTTGCTTGGAGTACTTTGCATTTCCAGGGATTGCTCCATAGTTTGGTCTTCTAAGTGAGAAGCTGGATATGGACAGAGTTGGGAAAAATGGTTCTTAAGCTCTCACTTTTAAGATGGATTGTCTCCTACTTCTGGAGGGAGCAAGGCACTTTCTGCAGTGTCCTGGCTCAGGGCAGCGGGAACTAAACCAGGTTTAGCGACTGGCAGTCAGATGGAAAAGTGTGAACTGTGGAAATTCCTTGACTTTTTCAGAGGGGAGAAAACATGATGGCACCTTGCTGTGGGTTTTCCTGTGTAATCCCAGATGGGTTAGGTCTAAGCCTTACATTTCGATCTCAGTGCTGGGCAGATTACAGGGAATGACCAAATGTGCCCAATTACCATAAACTGTTTCTTGGCTTGTGTTGGAGGGTGTTTATTTGCTTAAAACAAACTATACCCATGTGTTTTTTCCTGAATCTTTGTTCCTTTGTTTGGGACTAAGGAGATTTCATTTACCATGTCTGACAAAGTTGAAGCTTTCATTCGTTCCATCCGCAAATCCCTCGGACACTCTTTTTCTCTTGGAGTTTATTGTCACCCAAAGTTGAATTGCAAACAGATTTAATTAGTTGCTTCTGGGTTCTTTTGGGACCCAGCAGAATTGTCCTGGAGCAATGCTGGTTTCCACTGTCCTACATCAAGGTTTTTAGTGCTGTTGGCAAGATGTAATCCTGACTGAGCACTGCCAGATTGCCTGTGAGACACACAGAGCAGCTCAAGTGTGGTTTGGCTTTTCACAGAAGTGCTCTCCAATCAAGTACTTAATTGCTGATGCTGTTCAGTTTTACACAGGGTTCCTAAAACTCCAGCCACAGTTTGGGGTTGGTGTCTGAAATTTTGGGTCTGTGTTGTGCCTCTGCAAAGTGGCAGCAGACAAGCAGTTCAGCAGTCCCAGCTGAGCAGCTGCTCCCTCAGCTTTCCCAGCTCCAGATCTGTTTGTGTGGGTGGCTGAAACTCTGGTGAACTTCACGGTGTGTTCCTGGTCAGAACTCGGATGATTCTGTACCAATTGTTTCCTGGCAGCCTTCCAGGCACAGCACAGGGTTAATCTGCAGTGCATCCTCTGCAGTTTAGGGTGGAGTGTTTCTTGGATGAGAGGAGTGGGAGGCAGCTCCATTTTCTGCAGCACAGTGTGGCACCACCCATTTCTGAAGAAAACATGCAATAGGAAGGCTGGAGCAGCCTTGGCTGGGGTGTGTTTGGAAACAAAAGGTGGTGTGGACCCAATGGAACAGCCAACCTGTTTGTGTCTTCTGCAGGTGCCTGGGCAAGGCCAGAATTGCCCTGAGGTTCTGACAGCCTGGTTACTACCAGTAAACAGCAAGAAACACAAGGACTGATAGACTGACAATTCCCAAGGCCAGGAATTATTTAAACTGTGAACTCAGCAGTCTCAGTAAATAGAGACTTCTGGAACTGGCTGGTACAACTGTCCCATTCTGGAAAGCAAGGCTGTTATAGCACATTGCTTCCTTCCTAAACCAATACTTGTCCCTTAAATAACACTATTATTTTCCAGAGTCTGTGATCATTTGATTGCATGTTGCTGTTTGCAAAACACTCCAGTACCAGTAACAATGACTGCATTGAACTGTCTTTAATTGGTCTGGTCTCATCTTGGCTTTTCCTTAGGCTTCCCCTCATTCGGAATGGATTACAGACTAATTTAGCCATAAATGGTATCATGCATAATTTGAGTTTTAAAAAGGCCATGTTTGCATTTAAAGGCAAATGATAGCCTCCAAGCTGAGACTTTGAATTAAGGGGAGAATCCTGAATTGCTACATTTAGTCCCTAGCCTAGTGTTTGTTAAACCTTAGCCATAGTTTTTCCTAGAAATTCTTGGGGAGGACTGGACTATTAAAAGGATTTTCTAGAAATAAGCCTTATTAAATGAGTGATTCCTGTTTGCCTGAAGGTGGTGGTGGGAAAGCTACCAGCTGGTGGCTTCATTTTGCTGCTGTTGTTGCATTTTGGCACTGTCAAAAACCCCCATGGTTTGAAGCCTGGGAAATCTTTGTAACATTTCACAGCTCTACAAAAACGATGGAAGAATAGTCCCGGTTTTCAGGGCCTGGAGGTTGTACCCCCAGAGCCTCTCACTGCCAAACTAGAAGTCCTGACTAAATCCAATCTTTGATGTTCAGTATTAAGACCGATTGTGCAATGACTGCTTAAAGCAAAGGAGCTGTGATGCAATGACAGAATAAAGGATTTGGGATGGAAAGGAGCTAGTACTGATGGAAGCATGTGATGGCTTAGGTCAGATTGTGAGCAGGTTTCTGGTCCTCTAATCCTGTCCTGGGGGACAACATCTGTCTTAACCACCATCAGTGGTGATCTCTTGTAACTGAAAGATGAATCCATAGAACTGTCTGAAAGAAGAGTCCATAGAATCATGGGATAGTGGCTTTTACTTTGGGAACAGACCTTATGATGGAAAGCAGGAGCTTATTAAGGGAGAAATGGATGATTGAAAAGTTACTCCTTAAACCTTTGAAGCATTTTGTAGGCTTGCTGGTGTCTTACGTGTCCATGTTTGCTCGAGACCTTGCCCATAACTGATTCCTTTTTTCCAGATTGAGAGTCTCCCACCCGAGCTGTTCCAGTGCAGGAAGCTGAGGACCTTGCACCTGGGCAACAACGTGCTGCAGTCACTGCCATCCCGGGTGGGGGAGCTGACAAACCTGTCACAGATCGAGCTCCGAGGGAACCGCCTGGAGTGCCTGCCCGTGGAGCTGGGGGAGTGCCCGCTGCTCAAACGCAGCGGGCTCGTGGTGGAGGAGGACCTGTTCAACACCCTGCCCTTGGAGGTCAAGGAGCGGCTCTGGAGGGCAGACAAAGAGCAAGCCTGAACCCCTGGGAAAAGGGAAAAGCCTCTGACCAACTAGCAGGAAGCAAAAGGCCATTCCAGCCCCCTTTTCCCCAGATGCTCCCCTTTCTCCACTCCGATCACTACCAGACTGGCCAAGGAGTCCTTGACAAATGTGACTCATTCAGAGTCAGCTTCTTGCCTCAGATGCAGGATGGGGGAAGCTTGGGATCAGGATGAGGATCAGGACAGATTAATCAGCCTCTGAGCAAGGGCCAGTGGGAGTTAGAGGTGTTGCTGTTCTTCTGGACAGGAACTGGGGTGAGGTGGATGGTGCTGGCAAGAAGAAATGACCTTTGAATGGAGGAGAAAAGGAATGTGGGGATTGCTGCATTGCTCCAAATAGGGCTTATATGTACCAGGGATGAGAGTCCAGTGTCCTGCAAGCGAAGACCAAGAGCCAGGAAACCTCTTGAACTTTCATCTCTATGACACTGGGTACTGTTCCCCTCTGACTCAGATCCAGTCAGTGAGGCCCCCAGTGGGATGGGATGGGACACAGACAAGTGATTTTATCTGGATGCTGGCATTGGGATTTGGGGGATAAACATCTCACAGCTGCTGGAATGCAGGATTTTTTTTTTTTTTTACTAATTACCTTTCCCCTTTGCACTCTACACCTTTTCCTCTGCCCCTGGAGAAGGAACCAAACTATCTGCTCCCTTAAGATTGCACTACTTTAAAGGTTTCAAATCACTTGTGCTGATGAGTAGATCACACAGCATCCTTCTCTAGCTGATGTGCTGGAGGCACTAACTGACAATTCCAAAGCTTTAGCCTGTTCTGAAATGGATGGTTACAGTGCAAGTGAGAGATGAACTGGATAAAGAGCAATTGGACTGTCTAATCTCTCCCAGAAACATCGAGTTGCTTCAGGATCTGGCTTTTAGTTTTCAAGCAACTTTTTAATTGCTGATATTCTGTTACATATCAAGTATTAATGTACAACTGGCCAGTGTGTCAGGGCTCACCTGGGCTTGGAGGGGAAACTCAGGTTTCCTCTGCACCTCTTGTCCCCCATCCTGCCTTCCCCTACAATCAAGTTGTTAAATTAAGTTTTTCAATGCTCTGCTGGTGTTTTCCATGGATGCAGTCTCCAGAGCTGCTTGATTGTTGTTGTCTTCCCTTTAACAGCTGTCAGTTCCTGTTACACCTCTTGACCTAAATAACAGGCTAATGCTGGTTGAACCTGGTGCTGGAAAAGAAACCTTTCCTCCTGTTTCTTCCCCTTTTCATTCCCTCGGTGTTAAGGAGGAGAATGAGAATCCTCTGTGGACTGAGCTCTTCTGGCTCCCTGGAATAGAACAGTCTTTATTGAAACAAGCCTGACCTGTTTGGTGTTCTTTGACAAAAAGCTCTCAACCTCCTGGCCTGGCAGAGGCAGATAATATGTAATAGCTCCTGGTAATCATGTCCTTAAGGTGGGTGGATAAGCTGTGCCTCCAGTACTCCGAGATCTGCACTTTTCCATCAGGAGGAAGAGGAGGCTCCTGGACCTACAGGTCCTGGTTGTAACACTCTGCAACAGACCAGCAGGTTGGCTCCAAGGTGAAGCACTGCAAGCTGAGGCATGAGAAGTTTGGAGGCCTCCCATGGGTACAGAGGGGGAAGCTGCATCCAAAGTGATTCCTGGCGAGCTGCCAGCGAGTGCCCTGGCTTAGGGAATTGTGGTGATCCCGTGGATCTTGGGGCAGTCAGGCACACTGTGGCTTTCTTCATCAGATGTAAGATATGAATTATATATATATATCCTAAATATGCTGAAACCATGAACAATGTCAACTGGACTCTGGATTTGTTGATGTTCAGACGCTTAAATAAAGCTACATTAAAATCAGGAGATCTGTTTATAAAACTGCTTTTAAGAAAAATGTAAATTTTGCTTCCCTTAGTCCATTCATTATGAAAAGTTTAAACGGTCCAGAGGATAATATAATTAAATCTCCATCTGGGAGGCAAGGTACTGTAAAAGCTTTTCTGGCTTCTAATAGGGTTAGTGTCTTGAAACTGTGTTAGAGTTGGGGCCACTGCTGAAAGGATGGGGAAGGACTGATGCTGATTGGATTGGATTTTGGATTGCATGAGCATTTTGGATCACAGAAATTGTTAGATGGGCTTATGCTTCTTGAGTAAAGCAGGAATCACTTCAGGCTTAGCTGCAGTAATGATGTTTTCCAGTCAGTTCCTTGTGGTGGATGTGGGAGCTGTTTGGATGGTGAAGGAAACTGGTTTTTTCCCCTCTTTGTACCAAAAGATAGTGGTGGAGAGTAATGGCCACTGCCTGGAACTTGAACTCTTTGCTGTCCAAGGCCACTGGTAACTGCTTTATTACACATGTATTTTAGACTAGGCAGGGCTGAAAGGGCAAAGCACCTCACAGGAGTTTCACTGGGCTCCCAGGAGCAAAGGGATTTCTCCTGGATGTCTGGATAGCAGATGAGTGCTTTGGCTCTTGATTGCAGCTGTGGTCTTAGTTATCCAAACTCAGCTTTGCACAGCTGAGTTAGAAGTCTCTCTAAGCAGCTCCTGAAAGTGCTGCAGTGCTTCTAGAAGCTTGCAAGGCTCCTGACCTGCTGTGGATCCCAGCAGAACAGGGGAACACCAGTCACAGAGCTCAGACTGCCCTGGGCTGAGCTCCGAGGCCAGCCAGTATTGATCATGCATGAAAACACCAGCTTTGTGCTGTTCTTGCAATATTCCAAGCTTAACTTTTTTGGTTATAGCTGCCAGGGCTTGAGAACTACCTGTGTGGCAAAATTGGGATGAGCAATCTGGTGACATTTTGTACCATAAACAGGGGTGGCACAAATCCATTGTCACTCTGAAAGAGCAATATGAGTTATTTACTCCTGATCTGTGCTGCTTGGTCTCCCTTAAAGAGCTACTGATTCCAGAGTATTTCTCTTGTATGATGAGGTGGAAAAAGCTTTAAAACTTCCAAGGACAGAGTCTAAGACCGTGAGTCCTGAACATGCTAATGACTGAGGACTGCTGCAAAACTTGTCTGGTTTGCTCAGTCTGTGAGGGATGGGCTCACATCAACAATCCTCCCTCACTTGCAGGTATTCAATCAGTGAATATTCCCTATTTTCCCTTAAGTTTCCATCAAACTGAAGATTAGGGGGTTTATTTCTGACACTGTGTGTTCACGAAAAGCATTCAGCTTAAGCAGTCAGTGGTCTGGTCAGTGTCTTGTTCTCCTGACAGGCTTTTCAAAGCACTCTGGTAGTAGCAAAACAGATTATTTATTAGCTGCTAAACCATACAGCAACTTGAATTAAACCCACCTGTTTCCTTAATAGCACTTCTGAGCTGAACAAGTTCTTGGAGATCACAAACAGGCTCATCCCGTGTTAGCATCCAAGGTTAGTAACGTGCACTTTACCTTTCCTGCTAAATAACCCAAAAAGTGATAAATTGCAACTAATTCTTTTGAACCAGCTGAAAAGCAAGGAATACCAAACCTATGAATTGTGTTAACTCATGCTGTACTCTGACACTCTGCACTGGAATGTGAGCTGAAGTTGTTCTGTGTTTCAGATGCTTTCTGATTTTATTATTTGATCCCCAGTTAATTCAGCAGCTGGAAGTGATTTACTGTGCCAGTCTCAGTGGATAAATAACTGTTACAGGTATCTTTCACGATGTGCTGTTGTTGGTATTAATTGTCACTTCCTGATAATATCCTACCTCATTTGTTATTTTTTCTTATTGCCATTTATATGCTCCATTTAGCTCACTCCATTTTAATTAAAGTTCTTGGTGTTCTCTACCATAAATAGTATTAAGTGGCTTTCTGTTGCTGAACCATACTGAAGTCCTCTTTTTTTTTTTTTTTTTCCCCTCTTTAACAATTAATTCTAGGAATTTTGAGAACAATAGCACATCCTTTACAGAGGATGAGCTGTATGGAAAAAAGTTCCAAATATTATTGATTCCCCAGCTGTGACATTGTTTCCTTTCCTTACCTTTTCCCTGCTTTTGAATGGTTTGAGTTCTTTGGATTTTTAAAATATTTTTAGTCTTCCTTCAGGGGAGGAGTAACTTTTTCCCCCTCATTAGTATCTGTGCCTTCTCTAGAGATCTGTTCATGTAAGGTCTCCCCAGGGGCAGCTGCTCCCTCGGGTGTGTTCCCTTGGATTTTTTCCTTTCAACCACGGAGAGATTTCTTGATTTCTGGTGTGATTTCCCACTGCCAAACAATATTGTCATACTGTAAGTCATCTGCTCTGAAAGCTGCCCGAGGTAAGGCTGTGGGGATGCTGAATAGGAAGATTATTCCGTTTTAACCCTGCTGTTTGGCCACACAGTGGATTGTGGAGTTTTCCAGAGCAAGTGCCAAAACCAAGTGAGTTTTTAGTCCTACCTGTGTTCTGTGCAGGAAGCACAACTGGAAGAGGGCAGGAATATTGTCCCCCCTCCCCCCCCCAGGAGGTGGGTTAATACTCCACTGCTTTGGCAGCATGAAACCTTCCAGAAATCTCTCCAAAATCCTGTTTCAAAAGTAGCTGCACTTGAATTGCTGGACCCCAACAACAAAGGGGTGAACTTTGTGTGAGTTCATACAAAGGCTTAATTTAGGATTCCTGGAATTTCCCATCCCTCCCTCCCTCTGTTTTCCTTTAAAGGAGTTTTATTGAACAATGGGGGAGTTTTTTCTAGAGGAGACTTATTGAGAAGGGGGCTACTGAGCCTGAGTCATCTTTCCAGCTGACAGATGTGCCCATTGCAGTAAGACACCACTCATGGCTTAAACATGGCTCACTCCCATTGTGGAAATGCAGGAGCAGGGCTGTGGTTTGGCATCTGAGACCTGCAACTCGGTGTAACATTTCAGAATCATGACATTCACTTTGTACCTGGGATTGTTTGGGCAGCTGATCAGCAGCACCTTCCCTGGGGGCACTGAAGCTGCCCTTGTTTGCTCTGAAAGACTTGTACGACTGGACACTTTGACAGAATAAAAGTTGTAAGTTTTAATTTGCATTTTCCTCCTCTGTCTGCTTTCTTTGATGTTTCCTGTGTGTAAAGTCACTTGGCCTTCCATCCTCTTGCTTTTCAGAAGACAGAGTTAAAAATTCCAGCTATTGTGTAGGATTATTGAGTTGTTTTATTGAGCCTTTGTGGATTATGACAATCCTTTGTGAATTAAGCAGAGGTACAGAGAAAGAGAGGCCTGGGCTGCGTTATGGATTTCACCATCACTTCAACAAGTGCCTGAAACATTTTCTGTTCCTGAATTTAAGGCTGTTGGAGGATTGTCTGCACAAGCCTATGGAAGCTCAGGTGGGTTTTCAAACTGCATATTTGGCTCTCCTTCCCTAGGAAAGGGATAGGGAGTGAAGGCAATGGACAAAACTGCCTGTTGCCACAGGAATTGTCTTCAGACAACTGCTGCTAACAAGTTATTTCAGTGTCTGCCCACCCCACACACTCCTTAGCTGGAAATGCTGGCAAGTGGTGTCTTTCCCCAGTTTGTGATGATTTACAGAGAACCACCCTGTGACTTGCAAAGACCACGTGAGTTTCTGTGCAGCTCTTCTGTTGTGTAGAAAGGTGTTTTTCTTGTGTTTTGCCTTTCCCTCACTCCCTTTGTCTGTGACTCCTTGACCACAGTGACCTTGGCCCCACTTCAGTGACAGAAAATGTGAGCAGGCTCTGAAACAGGTGAAAGGTGGGAGTTTGAGATGCTGCTTATTGCTGAGTTCTAATGAAATGTGTAGCAGGACTGAACCAAAAATGGAGAGGACAAGACCCCCCCTTGTCCTTTAAGGCTCACCTGGACCTCAGCTCCTCTTGGCTGGGATTCAGCTGCTCTGTCAGGAGCTGAGAAAAAGAAAGAATAAAGGTGTCATCAGAAAAACCTATTTCTTGGATTCCTGCAGGACTTCAATACAGGAATGAGGGAAAAAACTGATCTGTCCTTGTTGGAAAAAGACTTCTAATCATGATAATTCCAAATTTTCTGTGTAGCTCACTAAAAAGCATAAAGGTTCAATAGAGGCAGCTGGAACTATATTGGTTTTATTCCAGTAAAATCCTCCAGCCCTGCTGCACTGTCAGCTTTTTACCTTGCTGATTCTTGGGTTTACCTGTTGATGAGAATTCTCTTGATGGAAAATTACTGCATTTCTGAGGCTTCTGTTAACTTGAGAGGAGATTGCCAGTACAGGGAAAACAACTACTTGAATATCTATGACACTTTAACTACTGGTTAAATTTAGATATTCATTATGGTTGTTGTGCTTCCTTTGCTCTTTGTTTCTCATTAAATATTCTGTCACTTGTTGCTGATCCCATCAAAGACTCTGGGAGAGGTGAGGAGATCCAGTGGAAATTTTTCCTCCTTGATAACCCTGGCAGCAGCAGTTTTGGTGGGAGTGCTGAGCTGGCTCTGGAGAACTGGCTTGGCTCCAGATGGTCTCAATAGGCTCTTTTATTGAGGGGGAAATTAGGATAATTGTGCCAGTCCAAAAGGCATTTGAAACACTTGAGCTGTACCTTTCCTACAGACATGGGATGGGCTCTGCCAGCCTCCAGTGGAGTTTGCCAGAAGTTTCTTGCAGAGCTGGCAGGAGAAAATGTTAATAGTCTGCAAAAAAAAGCTCTTGGAGGGGAGAAAGGGAAGGAAAAGGGGCCATTTCCCAGTTTTGTCTGAGTACTTTCAACCTTCCTATTTAAACTTAACAGGAGAGAAGGATTTACAGAGGTAGCATCCTTCTCCTTGACTTTTTATGGGCATTATGTGGCTGGAGTGGTTTTCCTCTTGCTGAAAAGGTGTTTCTGAGACTCAAAATAGGGGCATGGCTGGAGTGGCAAAGAACTGGAGGACTCCTGAGGACAGACACTGATGGAAACTCCTGGAGCAGGGATGGGCTGCCTCTCCTGCCTGCCGTGATCTGCTGTTTATATTGCTCCAAACAATCCATGGAACAGGAAAACTGTGGTTTGCCCTCATGGCATGACCCAAACCAGCCTCTGAGGTCACTGTGTGTGTGTAAGGTGGGGAGTGGAGGCGGTGACGTGATGAATTGCTGGAAAAAGCCCTGTCTGGGAATGTGAGGTACATGACACGATGATGACGGAGGTGACACCGAGAGGGACTGAGGAGTGGCACGGGAGTGTTTTCCTGGAGTGTTTCTCCAGGATTGCTGCCTCCCAGGGAGGGGTGAGGTGGGTCACAGGATCAGCTTTCAGGCAACAGCTACAGCAGGGTTTTTTTTTTTTCCCCCACTGGTTACACATCTTCTGCTCCATGGGTTGCTGAGAGGCTGTTAAGAGGAAGGAGGAACTACTTGACTATTTTTTTTGAACTTTTCAACACTGGAGGCTGATTGATTCTCTTCTCTCCCCCCCCCCTCCAGGTTTGGTAGCCCAGTGAATAGTCTCTGGCAAAATTTAGCTTTTAAACTACTCAATTCATATCTTCTTGTTGAGCAGGGAAAAGCTTGAAAACAAGCTGTAAATGCTCAAAAAAAAGATGTTTTCCAGTGAAAACACTGAATTCCCCCTTTATTAAAAAAAAAAAAAATTTAAGATGTGAAGGGATTTTTATTTACAGTTGATTCCTGTACAGAACAGAAAACTTAATTTTTTTCAGACAACCCCTTTTTAAGCTGGATTTCCAGTCGCTGGGATGTAAACACCTTCCTGGGAGCGTTTTGCATTCCTTCCTTTTGCTGGGTTTTCCTTCGGCTGCGTGAGTGATGCAAGAACCCGCCCCCGTGGTGTTTTTTTTTTTTTTTTGGGGAAGTGCTGCTGAAAGGGTGTTTTCGGGGTTTCCTGTAAGAACCAAACACGCTTTTCTCTACAGGGAAAAGCCTTCCCGAGGGATTCCTGCGGGATGGGAGGGATGTGTTGGCTGGGAGCGCCACCGCTGGGCTGGAGGCTGTTCCTCCCTCTGCCGCCTTTTAGCCCCACTTGGTGCGTTTTCTCTCTGGTTTGAACTTTGCCTGGGTTTGGGTTTACTTAGTTGTAAATATTACGTGCACTTTGGGAGCTGCAGGAGAGTGAACCGAGCAAGGGAAGGTGGAAATCGCCAAAGAGCAGCTGGGAATAAAACCAGAAATATTCTCTATGGGTTGTACCAAACCCTCAGGGAAAGCTTTTTAGTTTTAACACCCATTTGTCACCTCCTGGGTTGTTGGAGCCCTTTGAGGTGAGTGAAGCACCTGCAGGACTGAGCAAAAAGGGCTCTGTAGGAGCCTGAACCACTACTTTAAATTTGTTTTAAGACATCCATATGTTTTCATTGAATCCTATTTTACCCCTGTGTTTACCAGCTTAACTGCTCTACTTTTTAAATCTGGGTTATTAATGAAAAGCGATTCCTCCTTGGGGTTAAAAAGTTAATCAAGTTTGCAAGTCCACTCGAGCAGTTTTTATGCACTTTGTTACCACCAAGAGCCAAAGCCAAACTGTGCAGCCCCGAATGCCTCAGCCAGGAACAAAGAGCCACCAGGAATGGAGACAGAATTCCTGGAGCAGCAGCTCTGGTGGCTGCACAAGAGTCTGGTTGTCCAGCACTGGCTTTTATCACATGCTGGGACAAGGATCACGTGGAGAGGCGGAGAGTCAGCCCTGCAGAGCCCGGGTGGCATCGTGGAGGTGCTGGGGTCTGGGGAGCTTCTGTCCCGATGGCCTCTGTAAGCCAGGATCAGATCCAGAAGGTAAGGAGCTGCTCTCCGGGGAGGGAGCGTGTCCCCAGTGCAGTGACACTGCTTGTAATAGTCACTGCTACTTAACCTGGCCCTGAAATCTGCTTTACAAACACTTTATATTCCCCCCAGCTTCTTGTATTACGTTAATTTTGAGTGTGTGAGTGTCATGCCGACAAACTCTTCCAGAGGGCAATGTGTCCTGCAGAGCTCTTGGAGGAATTTCCCCTGTGCCCCTCTGTCTGTGCTGCTCAGCTCTCAGCTCTGAACTGGCAAAGGATAATCTCCAGGGTATTCTATATAAAGAAACTGTAGTGCCCAACAGAGTTCACTTCATTTCGTAAGGGATTGTGTAGTCAGCCGTGACAAATCACCCAGGGATTTTTTCCTGAGAGAAAACAACGCCTTCCAGCTGGTAAAGGAATCTCATTCTGATTTGGCACACAGGAATGACTGCTCTGTTTGTGTTAGCAGGCTTGGTAATTTAATCTTAGATAAATTATCCTTAAACCACAAAGGGCGAGATCTCTGCTTTGAGGACTGAGGGGTTGGGATAGTTCTTAAACTGTCTGGAGTCTCAGCCTGTTAATGAATCTCTTCTACAATAGAAATAAAAGATAAAGAGCATGTTGTTCCCCCTCCTAAAATACAGCATTAAGCTGTCCAGCTGCAGGGCTGAGGGCTGGATGCTTCTCACCCTGCAAAGAGAACTGTTTTCTCCTGCTTTGTGCTGCTTTCCCCTGGGGGCTCTGGAGGGGAGCAGCCACCTCGTCTCTCCCAGTTCCACAGGGACGGCTTCCTTGTCCTGGAGGGGTTTTGCAGCACAGAGGAGTGTGACAGCATGAGGAGCCAGATCCAGGGAATCATCGAGGGGATGGAAGTGCCCCCACACTGCCGCACAGAGTTCTCCACCAGGGAGGAGGAGCAGCTCCAGACACAGGTACTGGGAAAGGCAGGGCTGGAGCACTGGAAGGAGGAAGGGAGAAGGCAAATTGCTGCTCAGGAGTCACTGTGGAAACGTGACTCCTTCTTTTAACTGAACACCACGAGAGGACTTTGCTTTCCAGCTTTTTGCAAGTGTTTGGTGGGGTTTTATCAGAGGGTGAAGGGGAGGATTTGTGACTTTCAGCCCCCCGTTGCCACAAGCAGCTCTCACAGATCACTTTGTACTTGTTCTGCAGACAGAAAATGGTTATTTTCCAGGCAGACAGCTAAAGAAAAGCAAGGGCAGCCTCTGTGTGAGAGGTTCTTGTAAAGCTCTAATAAACAGTGCTGTAAAAGCCTTTTTGAGTGATTTTTTTTTTTTTTCATTATGTTTTGTTTATGCTGCATCTTGTTGGGGAAAAAAGATGCAGGTGAGTGTTAATGCTTTGATCGAAGGTTAATTTCTGTTTTTGTAAGGATGCTCTCTTTACTGGGCTCTTATCCCTGGCAGGGTAGCTCGGATTATTTCCTAACCAGTGGAGACAAGATTAGATTCTTCTTTGAGAAAGGTGTTTTGGACAAGAAAGGTAAGCCCTGGCCTGAGTTTGCCACAGGGAGGGGATGAGAAAAGGCTGAGTGAGGGGATAGGGGCCAGTTTCCAGCTCAGGGGACGATTCCTGCTTTGCAAACAATGGTAAATTCTGTTTTGTTTGTTTTTTTTTTTTCATAGGCAACTTTCTAATTCCAAAGGAGAAGTCCATCAGCAAGATTGGCCATGGTACGTTAAAGGATGGTGTTTGGAAGGGGGTGGACAAAAGGGGAGGGTTTCTCCAGACCTACTCCCTGTAAATAACTATCTCTGCAATTCTCTCCATGCTACCCCTCACTCTCTGCTCTCAAAGGACTTAATCTTCTGTTTCAGTCCTTTTCAGAGAGCCCTTCTGGAGGTTTTTCAGCGATGCATAGCTCAGAGTCACTGACATGGGAAAGGCTGGACTTCAGCCCTTGGCTTTTTATGTAAGAGATTTGCTCTGACAAATTTCCCACCCGAGAAGGGTCACATTTGGTACAGATCAAACTGTGTCCAGTCTGATGCTGGGTTGCCAAAGCTGTTCCTCCCTCCTCTGGTGTCACCAGCACTTTTGCTTTACCCTTACTGGTCTCAGTTTGACCTATTTCCTCTTTCACAGCTACTGGGCTTGCTTTTGATCCCTTTTGTTTTCAAACAATACATGGAAAATGAGAGTGGGATTCACTGAGTCTGCAAACACATGAACTTTGTTCAGATTGAACTCTACTGAACTTGGAAATCCAGTACTGAGAGTTCTTGTTCTTAGGTTTTCTCGGAAAAACACTCTCCCCTTCCCAGGCCTGCTGCCATTCTGTTACACTTCAGCTTTTCCCCAGGGGAAGTGAAAACAACTGCAGATTCCTGCTGACTCTGCAACTTAGCAAATTCAAAAGGCTTCTCTAGGCTTAAATTTCTGTAATTACTCCTTTTGGTCAAGTCCATCCTCATCCCTTGCTCAGGAGCAGCTCCTGCTGGACCTGTGGCAATGAGCTGGAGGCACAACAATGATCCCAACGAGCTGGAGGCACAACTCCAAGCCTTGGCTTCATGGGTTTGTCAGAGCTGGGTCGTAGCAGTGTCTGCACAAACAGCTCTGACCTGCAGGCTGTGGCTCTCTGAAGGGCATCAAAAATAAGCTGTAACTTGTTTTTGCAGCACTTCCTTTTTTGGTAGGTCTTAAGAACTGTGTTTTTAAGGGGTGTGTTCACCCATGTGCTTTGGGGTCACATATAGTGGTTGTCACTTGCATAATATCATCACAAAACACTCTTTTTTTTTTTTTTTTCACTCTGTTATACACTGCTTTTTTATTTATCTGCAGTTTGTGGCCAGGGAGTGATTATATTTATGATCTCTAATGATGATTGTGTGATTCTACAACCTTCAAGTGTCCTATCACCTTAGGTGTGATAATCCATGTCTATCCATCTTGGGAGGCATGAAAGTTTCTGGCTGCAATTTATCCTGCTTGGCTATGGCCTCTCCAGCTCATCCTGAGAGCTGCCAGGTTCCCTTCTGTTCAGGAAATCTTCAGTCTGAGCCTTTTTTTTTTTTCCCTCAGCTCTACATGCTTATGATCCTGTCTTCAAGCAAATCACCCACTCCTCCAAGGTGCAGGTGAGCTGTTACTGCTTCCTAGACTGGTCTGGGGGAAAAATAAATAAATTATGGAGTAATTAATCTTAATTTTCTAGACTCCCAATGATAGTAATTTTGTCAGTGAAAAGAAATTTAAATATCTTCCTAGAATAAAGTTATATGGTGTGCAGAAAACAGCAAACATAAATCTTGGAATGTTTTCTTACAGGAATTGGGAAGAAAACTAGGCCTTGAGAGACCAGTAGTTGTGCAAAGCATGTATATCTTCAAGGTACAGTGATTCAAGTTGTCTTGTCACTCAAGAAAGACCCTGTTAGGTGGGAAGCTCTGAATCTCTTCACACATCACCTTTCTTTCCTTGCAGCAACCTGGCATTGGTGGTGAAGGTGAGACTTTTGTTATCTCTATATCACTCTACAGGGAATGCTCCTTTAGGAAAGGAATATTACCAGGAAAAAGGCTCAGAATCAGACTTAAACCTGTGAGTTTGGTGCTCCAAACCTTCTTAAAATTATTTTTAAAAATCCAGATTTTCTAGAAGTGTTTCTACATCATGTGCAGCTTGAACAAAGAGCTGCTTTTACATTTGCAGCAGCCTGAGAGGTGGTATTTTACTGTAAGATTTAATTTAGATGGGTGGGCAGATGAGGACACTGAGCCAGGGAGGTGCAAGCCTGAGGTCCTTCTCGTGGAACTGAATTCCTCAGGGGTTAAAAGACCTGCACAACCATCTCTCCTTGCAGTGACACCTCACCAGGATGCCACCTTCCTGCACACGGAGCCTCTGGGCAGGATCCTGGGCTTCTGGATTGCCCTGGAAGATGCCACACAGGAGAATGGCTGCCTGTGGTTCATCCCTGGCTCTCACACCAGTAAGAGTTGTGTGGGTGGCCACTACTGGGTTACCAGTTCTGTTTTCACCACCTCTAGAGCACATTAAGCAGCTTTAAATTACTGCTCACCTAAACATTCCCTCAGTGAATAGTGCTCTTCAGATTTTAAGGCACTCATCCCTCAAATCCTGGAGTCAGCTGCACTTGAATTGTGATTTATGCTCTTATAGAAAGGATAAATGGACCAAAGGTTGGCTTTGCAGAAGCCTGGGACTGTTTGTGTCCAAAAAGGTCTGTTGCAATGCACAGAAGGGGCCAGAAAGGCAAACAAAAGGCAGTTGTTTATCTGTTTCTGCCACAGCTGGAAAATCCTAAATCTTTGTTTAATGAAAAAGACTCTGCCCAAATTACTAAGGAAAAATTGAATATAGCAATAATAAAGTTTGATAAATCACAGATATTGTTCCTCTGCTGTGCAGAACGTAGCTACATGTTTAATTTTTGTGTGTTTGTGGATTTGCAGATGGAATTACCCGGAGGATGGTTCGTGCACCTTCAGGTGCCTCAACATGTGTGGAGTTTGTAGGGTCAGAGCCAGCCTATGATGACAGTCAGTTCATCCCTCTGCCCATAAAGAAAGGTACAAACAGCCCCAAATGTGTCACTTCACAGCCCGAGGAAACACAAGGGAGCTAAAATTGTATTTAACCCTTCCATTGGAAAGCTGGAGCTTTCCACCATTTGGAAAAAAACCCAGCAGTACAGGGGTTTCTTTCCCACAGGTGGACTCATCCTCATCCATGGGGAAGTTGTCCATAAGAGTGAACTGAACAGCTCGGAGTCCTCTCGCCACACGTTCACCTTCCACGTGATGGAGGCCAAGGGCACCACCTGGAGCAAGGAGAACTGGTAAGGTCGTGATCCCCACAGGCAGCTGAGGAAACTGGAGCCAGGATGAACTGTCACTGGTGGTCTTGTCTGTCACAGGTTGTTGGTAGTGCCCTGCCTAGCACTGATTTTGTACCTGCAGCACTGGAACAGCCTCTGAAGTTTTGTTTTTCTCCCTTCCTTCCTTCCTTCCTTCCCAGGCTCCAGCCAACTCCTGAACTGCCTTTTCCATCGCTCTACACTTGAAGTCAGTGACTGGCTTCTGGAGTCAATAGCTGATCAATATTCCTGATTGTTCCTTCATGTTCCCCTTAAACACGACCTTCCCTTATGGCAGCTCTCGAGGTTAATTCATCCTGGGAACAAGGACTTTTGTCACAGCCCAACACGCCTGCAGGAGACAGAACCTCCTGCTGCAGCAGGAGCCCTGTAGTGTGAGAGTAGCCACCCAGTCCTTTCAGTAAGGAAACCTCTTCAGTCTTGAGAACAGACCAGTAAAGACCACTGCACCTTGACTGGGACCAGTTAAGAAGTATTTCTTCTTGCAGATTCAGTTTAAGAGCTTAAGTGCATTTCTTGGTTGTGCAGGTGAATGTGTCATGGGAAGAAGGTTGACTTTCACCCTTAGGTCTCTGCCCTGTTGTTGGAGTAACAGTGATTTAAAACAGCCCTGTTGTGGGCAAAATAAAGCAGGAACTCTGCTTTTTATAATCAATTTTCTAAGTATTCCCCAGCAAACTGTGGTTGAGTGTTTTATCTCTGGGTGTGTTGATTAAAAATATGACAGTTCTTAAAGATTTATGTTGAAATGGTGGGAGCAAAGAACCTCAATCCAACTCCTTGCACTTAATAAAAGAATAGAAATTCTCCTTTTCATCTCCATCATCTTTTCTTTGAGGAAGACACAGTGTGACCTCCCAACAGATGGGGCCAGCACCAGGTTGTCTGATGAGCAGTTTGAGCTCTCAATATGCACAAGAACAATTTCTACCCCCAAAACCTCACCAAATCCGAGGCAACTTACAGCAAGGACTGTTTGGAAACCAAAGTTACATCCAAGGCAAGCTCAAGCCTGTGTCCTGAACTGCACAGAAGCTGTGTAGGTGTGATTTCAGCAGCACTGATGCAGTGTCAGCCGTGAGATATGAGCCTGGTGTCACCAAGGCATGAATTACATCAGAGTAACCCTCAGACTGTCAGAGCTGTGGCAGAGTGAGCCCAGTTCTTACTGACTCATCCCTTGCAAATGGATATTGCTTATCTCTGGCATTTGTTTGAGGTGAATTTAGTTTCTTTAAGGGAAAAAAGTTTCCTTTCAGCCCTTTGGGCAATGCAGAGTAGCTTGAATCCAGCAAAGAATTCCTCACAGAGGAACAGCTCAGGTGGCTGGGGCAGGAATTGGGGAGCTGGGTAATGACAACAGCAGTAACACTGAATGCAAAGTTTCTGCATTTAGAAACTGCCTTTTATACAGTTTGTTTGAAAGGTGTGAGCAGGGGGGAAAGAAGTTACTTCCCTTACCTGTGGTGCTATTTTATTCCATCAGTGGTGAAGGCTTTGGCTTGTGACAGAAGCAGCTCAAGCTTTGTCTGTGTCTTTCCATGAGAGGAGTTAATAATTTAGAATTCTGCTGAGGAGGGATAGTTTGTCCTCTGATTATGTGCACCACTACCTGCAATGTGCAAAACCACCTCGTTCAAGTGCATAAGTAAAAGCAAAAATCTGGATTGATTGGCAGGATTTCCTGCTAAAAAGTGAAGGAAACTCAGCCCAGTACAGTTACTGAGTTTGGTTTCCTACAGAGAATATCTGACAATGTATTTCCTTATTAACTGGCTCTGGCCAACTTTGGCCTCCTCAGGAAAAGCAGCACCAAGTCCCAGGAGCCCTGCCCAGGCAGGGGGTGAATTGGGCAATGCTGCCTCTCAGCTATTCCAGTCCTGACTTGTTGCAGGGACACAAATATTGGATTCTGGAGCCAACTCTGCTGGCCCAGAGACTGGTTTCACCCACCCCTGGGTCTTACTCTCAGTCCCAAGACACAGTCTCAGCAGGACAGTGTTGTGTGAGGCACCTTGGACCCTCCCCAAACTGTTCCCAAAAGTGAATTAAAAGGGGGTCAGAAGTTAACTTCAGGATGCAAACAGGAATCCTGGAATTCCAGTCTCCTGCTTGGACACATCTCAGGGGAAGGGAAGAGGCAGGGAGGCCACGTGTGCTTTGTTCTAGTGGACAGCTGGCAAACCAGTGAGAAGAGACTGTCAGTACAGAAGTGTTTAACACATAAAAATGAGGTGGGCTTTTTGGCCACAAAATAGTAGTTGTAATTTTAATTAAGTGGGCAGAATTCAATGGCTTTACTCAATTTGTTGATAGAAGGATTTTTATAAGTTATTTAATTAAACATCTGGCTGAAAAAAAATGTGAAAAGTAGAAAAGTGCAGTAGTAGTAGAAAATTTTATTGACTTGAACAGATTTTCTGCTTTCAGAATTAATGTGTAATTAGTTTTAGCTGTGACTTTGCTTAATTCCACCCCCCCATATTCATTCCAAATGGATTTAGAGATTAAAATCTTGGGAAAGACAAAACATTCTTCTCATTGAATAGAACTTCAGGGCTAAAAATGTACTGTTGTTATTAGTTAGGGCTTGGAATGAGTAGTGTCTGACATTCCCAAACCTTCCCCACCCACCATGGATGTGGCAGGTACTGAGTTTGGAGTTGTGTTTGTGGTTCTTGCTGATGGACTGGACACATTTGGACTCTTGTACCTGCTCTGAGTGCCCACCCTTGTTATCAAACATGCTTTACATGGTGCTCATGCAGAAATGAGAGTTCACATGTTCACTAATACAAGATGCAGGACTCAGTATGGAAAACAAGGTACAATACAGAGGTGGCAACATCTGAGAGATCTGCTGATTTATTTTTTCCCCTTTAATTGACTTACCTCTTCTTCCTCTGCTTCTTTTGCCTCTGGACCCCCAGAAGAAACTTGGATAGTTGGATTATTAAACATAGGCTGTTTTTATCAGTCATATTTGTTGCTGTGAGAACCTAACTCAGGCTGTTTTCAACAGGGGGAAAAAACAAGACCAAACCAAAACCTTTATTTTAAATAAGTCTCATTTCTGATTTTAACTATTTTCTCTGCTGTACTAAAAGTAGTGTTTAGGTCAGCTTTGAGCTTCCATTACAGTGCATTTTCTAGTACCACTTTTCTCTAGGAAGGGAGAAACCTTTGTTCCTGGAAGTGCTTCTATGCCATGAACATGATCTGGAGGTAGAGAGGCAGCAGCAGGTTATCAATTTGGGTGGTATAAGCTTCCAACAGAGAAACCAAACTCACAGATGCCAGAATCCAGGCGTAGCTGGAGTTCAGATTCACACTGCTGTCAAAGATCAGAATCAGGGCCACAGCAATGATCTGAGCAAAAATAGCTGTCATTGTCCCTTCAAAGGTCTTCTTTGTTCCTGGCCATTTGATCTCCCCCATTGCACTGCCAAAAACAGAGGCAATAGTGTCTCCTACCCCCACTGCCAACACTCCGGAGTAGGGGACCAGTGCTCCTGCCCCAGACAAGGTGCCTTTGGGAGCACAGGATCTGGGGAACAACCACACTGGGAGGGACATGCCAAGGAGGAGATAAATATGAGTCAAGATTAGAGGGCCACTGTCCCTTTCATCCAAGAAGAGAGACAGCAAATGCCTGAGGGTTTGGCCAAAGGGTTTGATCCGGAAGTACCGGACGTATTCCAAGAAGATAAACACTGCCAGGCACAGCACTGCAGCAACATAGAGGAGCTGACGGTCATAAATGAGTCCAGGGACATAAGTGGCTACAACAATGAAGTGGAAATATTTCCTGGTGATAGTGGAGGCCTGGTGTTTTTTGGATTCAGACGATCTCTTTGCGTTCTGGTAGAAAACCACCCCACAGGCTGAGGCAGCCAAGAGGGTCCAGTACACGAGAAGGTAAAGTCTTGTCTCTGTCTGAAACAGAAACTGCAGCAGCCAGAGCAGAGGGTTCCTCTGGATGAGTCTGTACAGCCAAGGCATGATGACCCCTAAGCCCAACACTGCTGTCATCATGTGGAAGAACATGGAGGAGATCCACGTGCCTGAATCCATGAAACTGAAAAGCACAGTGAAAAAAAGACCAAGGAGAACAACTCCAACAACTGCCACCAGAAGGAAGAAGTCAATGGGATCCCCTTTGCCCTCGACCACATTCAGTGAGCGTTTAATGAGCTGATTGAGGACAAAACTCACACCTCCAAGAACCAGCAGCGCTTCCCCGGGGGTGAAACACCGAGGCAGCAAGTACAGCAGGATCATACTGAGGTAGACAAAGATGAGCAGCACTTCCAGGACCTCTATGACTTCTGAGACAGCCAGGGAGTGTTTCATGGTGTAGACGATGACGCTGCCAGCCATGCCAGTCAGGATGCAGGTGTTGGTTGGCACGGGTTTGGTGATGCCAACCGCCAGCACCGACAGGAAGAGCGCGAGCAGCATCCCCGTGGAGGCCACGACGACCCCGAAGCGCTCGAAGTACACGATGCCGGCGGCCCGGCACCGCTCCTTCATGACGATTCCCAGCAGGGGGATGACCATGCTGGCGGGTAGGAGGCCGCTGTTGGCCGCCCCCCGGAACTGGAACACGGCTCCCCCCGCTTGGAGCAGCCGGTCCCACTTGAACTGGACGTAGAAGGCCTGGAGGGCCAAGGCCAGGGCGCACCAGGAGAACCGGTCCCACACCACCCCGTGCACCGAGAGCACGATGGCAAACACCACCAGGGACTCCACCAGCACCGGCTTGTTCAGCATGATTCCAGCTTTCAGAATCTCTCTCAGGAGTCCTGATGTGCTCAGCTGTCCATTAGGAAGAATTCCCTTCCCTGCTACTGTGATTCCTGTTAAAAAGAAAAGAAAGAGCAAACAGCTAGAGCAGCTTCACTTTTAGAGCAGCTCCTAGGAAAGGCTAAAGCTTTTGCACATCCTCTCCCCCTGTCAGTACCTTAATTCCTGTTTTCTAAGGCAGAACCCCACACTCTGCCATTATTCTGGCACCTCTTTTAGGACCTTTGAAGGTCTCAGTTTCTGTATTTCTGTCGGCATTGTTATGGCTGATACAGTTGTGTGTATCCCAACTAAGACACTGCATTGCCTCATCCTTCCTGGCCCAGCCTTAAGCTGATTAGCAGCAAACTCTCATTAAATTCTTCTCCCCAAGTCTCATTGCCAATATCTACACCAGCTCCCCAAGAAATTTATTTAAAGTTCTGTTTTGGGTTTTCACTCAGTGTTGAATGGTGTCACCAGACCATGAAGCTGACAGAGATCTCAGTACCACTATCACTGAGGTTTCTACCATCAAACTCCCTCACACTGTGTGTCTGCAAGGTTTAGTTATTTATGATTTTGTAATGAAAACTCTTAATTATTAACAGGTTGCTTTCTGGCATCCTTGTTCATACAGCCTGAAATACTTGATTGCCAAACTTCATTCCATGTACTGTTGCTAAATAGCTTGATCAGGCCCAGGGTGAGCTTTTGCCATCACATGTTATGTTAAAACAAGACAAGAAATTAATCATACATTAAAAAAAACCCAAGTCTGGGCAATATGTACCTATAAGTAATGATGATTTTGGGGTCACACTCTGCTGTTTCTGCATGCTGGGGAGGGGGAAGCTTAAGGCTTATTTGAGAAGAGGCAGAGTAAATCCACCTGCCAAAGAGTGAGAGTCCTCCCCCTCAGTCTGGCAACGCTGAAGTTGCAGCCCAGCTCTTGTATCGATAATGGCACATGACAGCGTCCCCCAGCCTGGCTGAGAGACAAGAATTTCACCTTCTGTGAGGTCTCTGCTCTAACGCAGCATCTCTGAAAGCTCTGGCCCCTGAACCTGCAACACGATGCGTTTAATTGCTGAATTATTTCATTTTCTTGTGCCTGCAGCAATTCCCTCCTCCGCAGCTTTCAGGTAGCGTGAAGCTCCTCAGCGCTCCCGCTCTCTCATCACGGAACAGGACCCGTCACGCCCCGATCCGAGCCACACTGAGCGTTCTCTGCCCGTTTCGCTATCCGCCTCCCGGCTGCCCTGGGCAGGAAAGCTTCCCACTGATGTGCTGCCAAACGCGCGGTATCCCTCGCCTCGCTGCAGCCCCTGCCTGCCCCCTCTCTTCTCCGTGTGCCCTCAGCCGCCTCACGCGCAACCCAGCCTTCGCTCCTGGGAACCTGCGGCAGGGGACAGCGGCCGCA